CACTTTTTAGAACTCCATGCATGTCTGGACTGATCAGGGAGTATATGGGAATGCTCTCCAAGATAAAGAAGAAACCATGTTTCTTCTTTAATGTTTATTAAAATGTTTATTAACGATGCAAGGGAAGGCTTCAGGCAGGACAGTTTAGCAGTTATTATTTTATTTGGCATCTTTGCATGATTTTCTGAGAGAAGAACCTCAAGTGGTGTTGCTTTGATAGCAAAAATCAATTTTCTAGTTTTCAGAAGAATGTCATTGTTGCCAAAACCCCTGAGTGGCCTGTTACACCTTTGCAGCTGATGGCAGGCTGCCACTTTCTGTGAGAGCAATGGTGCTGGCGTGTGAAACTGTACAACTCAATCCTTTTATATGGTGACCTCATACAAAGGAGTAAGATGTCATTATAGGAAGAAAAACTGCCATGGAAGAATGAATTCTGTGTTTAATAGAATGTGCTCTTTTAAAGAAATGTTCTCTGCTGAGTATTTTTAAAATGCTCTTCTTTTCCTATATCCCCTGTCTGTTCCTTCTTGGCATCCAGGACCAGCTACTCTGGTCCTGCTCACAATCTCACCATTGTTAGTGTAAGAGCCCTCTACTAAGTAGAAAATGCCATCTGAAAGGGCCTTCTTGTGTTCTTCTGCCTGATGAACTTTTTGTTTGCCTTCAAGTTATCTGATCCAAACTTCTTCCTTCCTTTACTTTTGCCCTTTAGTTGCATTCCTCTCTGTCATCAATGAAAGAATAACTTATGTAATTAATTGCTGAAGTACGAGATTCTGAATTTGATAATTATTATGCCAAACTGTAATGGGCTGCCTGGCAATTTTTACAACCTTTAGCATTCTGCCTCCCTGTGTTCACTTTCACATATGTGAGTTCTTTAGCAAGGATCTGTCACATCACTGCTTAACAGGACACGAAAAATGCAACTATCAGATATTAGCAAAAATGATCCAATTTCTTCAACAACATTCTAATATCTGCTGCATCACCTAAGCACCAAGCACAGGGAATAAAGGTAGAGAATGAGAAGCGCCACCAACAGCAAATGTAGTGCCTGCCTTGCAGTCAGCAGAACTTAACAAGGCTCAGAAGTAGCACATGCACAAAACTTTCAGGGAAGGGCAGCAGTTACAATTATACTTCTAAATAAAGACTAGCACTGAATGGTTTTGAGCAGCATAAAAGCGGCAGCATCTGCAAGAAATAACACCACCATCTTCATCAATGGTCAGTGTTTATCACACATATTGCTGCACTGGTATGTTCAGGGCTGGAAGGTGAAAAAGAAAAAACTACCAGAAATATAAAACCTAATCTTCTCCAGAAGTTTTACTGTGAAAAGTAAATGACTTCTGACACCTTAGTAGCCAGCCTGGGGCATCTTCACATAAACAGTCACCAACTTTGTTTGAAAGCCCTTCAAGGTGAAGAAGGGCATTTGCAGACCTCATTGCTAGACAAAAGACGGAGCAGGGTATTTATGCTTATGTAGCAATAAAGGCACATTTAGAGTGATGTCATCAAATTCAGAAGTATGCTTGTGACCAACATGTGTTTTAGAAATAATAGCTAACCATAAAGAACATGGTCACAAAGGGAAAAAAAAAATTTCTTGTTTCCTAGACATATTTCAAATGTTGTTGACTGATTTTTTTTTTTTTTTCCCCATAGTTGTCTTCTATGGAATATTTCTACCTCCTTTTCTTTGGAGGACAGAGGAAGCAAAGGGTAGTGTTCTACACTTCAGCCACAGAAATGAAAATATTTTAGAAAACTGTCATGATAAAACCATAAAACGCATTAGGAATCTCAGAAATGCGTATTTTCTATTTCTGTCTAAATTTTAGTTGACACTGTTCTACTAAAAGGAATATAAAGGCCTTTGTCCTACCAAGTGCAGAAGGAGAAATTTTACACAAATATCACTAAATTCTTATGAGAGTAGGACAAGTTTATCACTAGACAGAAACAAAACTGGAAGACTGAAAGAATGGTCAGGTTCAGAGGACAGATCATTAATCACATTCTTGGTAGGCAATACAGTATAAATTCTGCTTAAAAGAATTTTAGAAAAAAAAAAAAAAAAAAAGGATTTCCGAATAGTTATTTCCAGAAGCTCTGGATAAAATAGCCATTAACTGCAGTGTGACAATTCGATGCTTATGATGACTCCAGAGCTAAAGATTTAAAAACTGCATTACATTTCAATTCAATGCAACCAGCAGATAAACTAAATTGTTGCACAATATTATTCATCCTCTGTGTGTGTGTGCGTGTATGTTCATGTGCATGTTATACATTAACACTTAAATTATTTAGTGAAATCAATTTGTTTTTTCCTCAGTACCTGTCAGGTACTGAGGAAATACCAGCATTTTTTTTATGTTACACATTCCTATGTTTGTCCTTTCTCCAAGGTTTGAAAGACCACCAAGGCAGTTTTCCTTTTCAGTCCAAGTTATTTGCTATGTTGAAGTTAGGCATTTGATAAAAGAGCAGAGTTTTCTGTGCTTCCAAAGAACTGGAATTTTTCAGCTTTGTAATCTCAAATTAACACCTGGACTTCCAAAACTCATAATTACTAATTTGACAAGAGGTTGCAAGGAAAATAAAAATTAGGATCTGTCCTGGTGCTTTTTAAACTTGCACCTTGTCTCCAAGCTGGAGTGTTTCCCTGTCACCGGGTGCAGCAGGACCAGTGTGCTACTTTCTGTGAAGAAGGAATCGGATATTAAATGTGGTCATTCTCAGACAGAGGGGAACTGGCTGCAACACACAACTACAACACAAATACTTTGCAGGAAAGTGAATTTTGGTATCTGTTCTTATTATTTATGTGTTGGTTCAACTCAGAATTCAGACACATCCTTAACAGTTAGCATGTGAGTTGTCCCAGGTAGGTTTAACAGCACCGCTGAAGTTATTCCAGCTGGGCATAAGCCTAGCAAGGATCTGGTATATATGCTATGATATCCCCTTATTGGCAGGATTTTGAACTCCTCACAAAAAAGGTTCATCAAGAAATTCTTATTCAGTGGAGAGCTCAAGCAGACCCAAAGCATACTACCAAGCCCTTTGGGTAGATCCTGATTTCAATAAACAAACACAGAAATTGTTTAAGTGTTCTGATGAATCATGGCCTAAACACAACAGGACTTATCATTAAATACTATAGGTTGGTAGATGGATGATAGATAGATAGATAGATAGATAGATAGATAGATAGATAGATAGACAGACAGACAGATAGACAGATAGATAGAAAATAGCTAACGTTGGATGCTTTAGTTTAAAAAGATTCACAAAACATTAGAAAAGTATACAGTACAGATTTTTTGTCTTAGAAAAATCCACAGTACCAGAAGTTTGAAAACATATTCTCAGATGGACTCTTCAAACAAAATTTATTTTGTCTTGTTTCCAAAGATAGTTTATGTATTAAGGAGTGAGGAATATATAAAAGCCCTTCATAATAACAAATGAGGGAGAGAAATGCTCATTTTATCTGTTATCTTTTTACAAAGAAGCCCAGAGAAGTGCCTAGTGCTCTACTGTTTTATATCCTTACCTTCATTCTTTCGACTCATGAGCCTGAAGCTTACAAAGGCTGATGTCCTAGTAGGATTGGTTAGATCAACAACTACCAGTCTTCTTTTTCCCTAAATGGTTGTCAACAAAAATCAAACCTTCTTCTGCCCTCAAATGTGATAGCTACCAAGGGCTCTCAATCTATGGCTAACAGGAGGCAGCAGAGATTGTACAACGAATAAATTGCTCTAATCATTTAACTGCTTTTCTTGGGGATTAATCAATTCTTTTGCTGAAAACTAATTTGTGAAGAAGGATGAGAAAAGAGTATTGGAAGAGTGTGCAAGTTAAAATTTTCAGCAATACCTGTAACAGAGTTCTCTTCTCCAGTGCACAAAAATTCTTCATTTTAACAGTCATGTAAATATTTTTTATTATTATTTTTAAGATGTTTGAGGTGATGTAGGCAACCGTGGCAGTTCTGCCAGTGCCAGCAGACCATGTACTTACTTACTCGAGCATTTCCTCAGCATGAAAAAGTCTGTAAGGGAAAGCTGCTGCAGCCGGACAGACCCATGGAGTGGAATGGGCTGAGGATAATGAAGCACTAGCAAGCCAGCATCACTGCAGAGTTCTGACAAATAAGCAATAGAAGATCTTGATCTCAGTTTACCTTTACATACCAGGCTAAAAGACGCCAGTGCAGGCACAGATTTATGTGCACACCACATATCCCTGATCAGCAGTATCTCTGAGAGGGCCAGGGGAGGCAGCTGGGGCTAGTAACAGCTTCACTCATTCAATTTTAATTGACTCCTGTGTGTTTGTCAGATCCCTCAGAGCTGCCTTCCTTCTGTTTCAACCTGTGCCAAAAGCTGAACTGGTCCCATTAACCACAGGGAACAAGCAAGCAAGAAGTACCGATCCGCTACAGGTACAGAATAAAGTCTGTTTTGCTCTTTGAATTACATTTTAGATACAATCTGCAAGATCATAGACTAATGATCACAGTTCAAGCTGCAAACCCAGTGAAATTGAACTCTATTCACACAATTATACACTAAAGTGGGCTTTGATTCAGACTCCTTTTGCTTAATTTTCATCTTCTGTTTGTATTTAGTGTCCAAACATCTCTCTTTGAAAACCCTAAGGACATGCCCATATGCTTCACTGAGATCAAGACTATAGCACTAGCTGTTTACTGAACAACTACTGATACAGTGCTGAAATGGTATGCAACCAAGCAAAACACTCAAAACCAAACAAAATAAATGAGTGACAATAATATTTTATGCATTTTTTTACTTTATCTAATGGTAACAAATGACATAAGTGAAAGCTTGAGTAAAATGGGTCCAGCCATGTATACACTATTTCCCTTGTAACTCTTTTTAAAGTACATATAAATAATTGGTGATAAATGGCAGACAGCATCACTGCTGAAAAAATGGGTTTATAAATCTTACCTCTGCTTTTATTTTATTGTCTCCAAAACAGAGGTGTTGTAAGTAGGCTGCAGCATTGGACTGTACTGAGGGAAACTGATGCTGTAACATCTGTATAACTTCTGGAAGCTCTGGATCTCGCCATCCGAACTCTCTGTGAGAAAACACACAAGAAAGGTTAATCAAAAATTCTGCTATTAGTGGATAAATGTGGCAACAGTGGATCAACAAAGAAGACAGACATGTCTTAAATAAAATCTTGATTATTTCCCCCATTATTTTCAAAACAAACATAAATCAAATATGAAGCTGCTTTTCATTTTAAACTGTATTTTTCTGAAAGAAAAAAAAAAAAAAACAACAAAAAACCCACCGGTTATGTGAAGTGTAATTAAATACCTTCATGGAATTAGGTCTCTACTTGATACGTTTTCCTTAATAAAAATAGCTATGTGAAATCTCAATAAAAGAAAAGAAAGAAAATACATCCTCACATCATTATATTTTCTCAATTAAAATATAAAATATAGAGGCTAGAATCAGAACCACAAATGGTTTGCTATGAAATGCTAGTTTGTCAAAAAGTTTTTTACTTACTGCAACCTTTATTTGATATAAATTGCTATCTTACATTTAAAGCAATGGCCTATCTTGTCTTTTGGTTTATTTTTTCCAGATACAGTCCATGCTCAATGTAAAACTATGATACAGTTCTGGCCCTGCTTGAGCAGAATGTTGGAACAGAAAAACTCCAGAGGTCCCTTCGAACCTCAGGCCTTCTGTGATTCTGTAATTTTACAATTATACAATACACACTTATACACCGGATTACTTGTAAATCTTCATTCATGCTACTCAATCTAAAGCAGCTAGCTAAATACAAAGACTCAGTCTTCTCACTTTTCTTTAATCTACAAAGCATGAAACACTATTAGCATCAAATGAAACAACTGAAACCAAGTGTGTTGAACAAGTCCCAGCAGGCATTCTGCAGCTTCCAGAACTGAACTTAAAATCAACCTGACACTTCAGGTAAATTTTTCCCCTCTGTGTTCAAGGGTAAAATCATTTGTGAAAATGGCTTTGGACTTTGTGTCCCAAGAGCCAGAGATGCATGCAGCCACTCTGCGTGCAATACTTAATTCTCACATGCCTTTTCCCTAAGAGCTAAGTTTTTGTGCCATGTAAGTATTTTCACCATCTTCTGTCTAATGCTACATGTACAAGGCAATAGAGAGAAATTAGGGAAAAGAAATGACTTGTGAAAAAGTTTGTAGGTTCTCTGTTGCAGTTACCATGATCACCTGGATTGTTGCCAAAAAAACCCATAAAAGCTGTTACAAAGTCCAGCTATAATATTTGAAAAAAATACTTCTGATCATTAGTTTCCTTCCCAAATTATAGGGATTCTGCTGCAGTGAGGCCAAGCATACGTCACTGGGGGAATTCACAGTAGCTGTGCAGTCTGTCTCAAGTACAATCAGGCATCTCACACTAAGTATAACAGTTCTCCAAGACATTTCATTGAAACAAGACTCTTTTTACAACAATAATGAATTACTATAGAACAGAGGTATTGTCTGTTCTCGTACGTAATGTTTGCCAGATTGAGAGTTGTCATTACATTTGTATCTTTACGAAGATCCAGAATATAAAAAGGAGACATAGAAAAATAAACTCAGAATTTCATCGAGTATTTATCTTCTTGCAGAACAGATGTTAACTCATGAATATTAAATTTCACATTAAATGTTTAATATAAAGAAACCATGAAGATGTAATAATAAATCACATATTCCATTGAATGCACTGGACTATTCCAATGAATGTTTAGATGATATAGACTGTTGGGAAGCTTCTACAGAGACCTTTTGCTTATTTGCAGAAAGATCTTAACATTGAATTGATATTTTGAAAAGTCAGCCAACATTGTAAAAGGTATTGGGGAAGGCGAGGAACTCTGGCAGCCAGAGATGGCAAACACCACATTGTCTGTGTGTACTAGCTTACTATGACTGTGTTAATAGGTGAGAAGGAACGGATTCTTTGGTTAAGCACTTATTTCTGTTTAAGAATGGGTAGTATGAACTCAAAGACAAATCATGAATTGACAGAGGTGATAGAAACAATGTTATTTGTTCCTGTTAGCTTCCTCTTGTATTTGCTTTCTTACTGTTAACCATGTTAACACTTGTTAACAGTTTCTTCAAACCTATTAGACCTGCCTCCCATATACATGGCTCTCAGTCAACCAGAGATATCTTTCAGAACATTTTTAAAAACAAAAATAAAACATGAAAAACCAAAACCCATCAGCCTTACTGAGGACAAATTAATTATCCTACCTCCACTTCTAATTTATTCTCATTTTTGTTCCTAGGTGCCAAGTGCAGATGTTAGTATTTTTGAGAGGATACAAAATACCAGAACAAAACAGCTTGTGTGACAAGACAGTGAGGGGGAACATTTGAAATGAGTTGCTTTACACCAACACTATACTTCGAAGTGTTGGAACTTTTATCACCAAATTCTCTCCCAAAGGAAATTTCCTTGTTCGTAATATGTGTATTACTTGAACAGAAAACAAACAACTAGAAAGCCTGTTACATGCTGTGGTACACCATGGACCCTGACAACCAGCTTAGGTTCTTCTGCCTCTTGTCCTGGAATCCAGGCCAGAAGAGGCAATGAGGGGGCAAAAGGAAAAGGTCCCTTCATCAAAGGTACAGTTAATTGTTCTGATGAACCTTCAGTCTTGACATAGTATTTATATATGAAAACAAGTCTGTGCCTACTTTTCGGCCTCTGATCTCTCAAAATAAAAGCAAATAAATGATGTATGGATACTTGTTGGAAATGGCTGTGTGCACCTTGCATGTAAGTAGAAAATTAATTCAGAAAAGAAACTCTTAGCACTGAATACTGAGTTTGTTGTGTAACCAGTTTTAGGAGAGATAATGAACAAAGCAGGAAAAAAAGTTTAAAAATTTAGCTCCAGTATGCACTGTCATTTCAAGCAGATGGTCTCTAAGATGATTATATTTTTAGTAGTTTCTAAATGAAATACAGTAGCTATATAAAACAAACAAAAACTTCTGTCAACAGTTAAGGCTGCTGATAATTTTAGCAGCCTTCAGGGCAAGAAGGACTAGTTTCCAGGGGTTTAAATTTTTCATTTGTTTTATACAAGTGTCTTATATGTGAAAAAAAAAAAGTAAGCTAGAGAAAGAGAGGATTTTTTTTTTTTTTTAGAACAGCAAGCTTGTTGCTCTGTTAACAACATTTACTTGAAAAAATTAAATATTGATAAAAAAAAAATTGGCTTAATTATGAAAATTTAGGAAGGCTGTTTAATGAAGTGGCAGAGGTCTTGAGAGGGCAGGAGGACTAGAAATTCTTGAAGACAAAGGTACAAAATTATCTGGAACATTTTCTACAGATGCAGGGGAACTTTCAGGCTATGGCTCCAAGCACACCTATATAACAAAAAAATACATATTAAAAGTCAAACAAAAAGTAAGGAAAAAAACGAATAGGAAAGGAAGGTATGTTGTAGAAGTCAAGATCTGGAATAAACTGGGTTGCACCCTGGAAAGGTAATTCAAAATAGATAGCAAAATATCTTTTACTGCCAACCAACAAAATGCAGTAGTGGGGTTCATACTTGATGAAGATAAGGGTCAGATTAAAGGAAGGGAGAAGGATAATGAAAATCAAATCTACCTCTATTTATGTGAAACATCTGATATCATGCCACATGGAAATTAGTTAAACTGGCAACATATGAGGATCCAATCCCTAGTAGATTTATAAAGCATAATTAAGCAAAATTTGACACTCTAGTGAATATCCTAAACAAACACTAGCTAAGCCTGTGTCCTTTATTAACATCCTCAGGTTTACAGAATCTGAGCAAGGCGATCTACACAGGCAGTGAAACAAGCTAGAAAGCTGGAGAAAATCTGAGGAGGTGCATGGCATGAAATTTTTTGAGAATACTAATGAAGTATCTGTGTAGTTGATCCGAAAATGAAGAGTAAGTAGCATCTGTACATGATCTGTACTAGGTCTTCCGCTATTGCCTACGTTTCCCTTGGAATACCAATGCTAAGCTGTTCAGGTCAGCTAAAGACTTCAGGTGGTGGTTTGTGTTCTCCCACAGGAGAATCACAGCTGTGCAAGAACTTCACAGCTTTGGCTGGAAAGCAGCATTTGCCTTGCACTCCAAATATTTTGGCAGGTTGTAGAAGTGCAGTATTTCTAGGAAGCGTCCTCATCTGAGGAGACTGACGAAAGCATGCCGTAGTGTTCCACCTTCTTTCTTTGATGGAAACTGTGCTCTAGGAATGTAGGACTGATCTCACTTTGAATCCACCAGCAGGTTTTAGCTTGAAGTGGTGACTAAGGTAGATGTTCCATAGATATAGCAGGCTACTGTTCCAGGGTGGAAGAAGACCCAAAGGGGAACACCAAATTATATGTAAGATGCCAATATGTATGCCTAGACTATCACAGCAGGCTACATTTTATCTGTGAACAACTTGGGAGAATCAACAGGAAGCTGGACATGAGACACAGCTACTCTGAAATTGAGCAGCAGAAGCCGTAGCAGTAAGAAATCCAGGATGACTTGGGTAAGTCAATCAGTATTGCACAAAAACCTATTCCTGCTCCTGCCATCATGTCACACACATGTGTCAGAAGGTAAAGGAGATGCAGACTTAGAATACATTGCTAGTAACACAGCTGAGTGTGCTGGCTATGTGGGATCATATAAAGGTGCTGCTGAATAGAGTATGTACTGCATCTGAGTATTTACCTGAATTATGCCACAATTTTCTTATTCTGCTACTGTGAATGCTGATGACACATAGAAAAGCGAAACCAAAATTCCCGTTACATCTATATCTGCACTGATTTTGAAAAGGCTACAAAATAAGTTTGAAAAGCACGTCTCCAGTTGGTAACTAAGGATACTGACTGCTTCTACAAAGCACTGGAGAAGCAGGTGTGACGCCTCTGTCTACTCTTCATCCATTGGTCACAGTGAATCTCACGAGAGCTTGGGTTCCTCTTTCTGGTTTATGTTATTAGAGCAGAACATTCTCATCTGATCAAGCAGTTGGCACAGGCAAGCACCGACACCCAGAGCTA